GCTAACTTTTGTAGCTTGAAAACTTTTTCAGTTTGAAATTTCTAGTTGATCTATACTGTTTGATGATGGTCGTGAAAGTTATGTCAAGATTTTGCTTTTCAAGTGTCATTTTCTTGGTGTTTCCAATTTTTTAGGCCAATATTAGATGAAAAAGAACAAATTCCTGAAAGCGATTCCAAAGTTTTGAAAGATGCTACTGCAAACACCTCAAGGTACGGTAATTGTTGTTTTTTGTAATAAGGCGTGTGACTAACTGAAGTTATTGGTATCTGAACGGAGCCTTGTAGTGATGAACTTATAACGCTGCAAGATATTATGGAGGCTCAAGAGCGACTTGAAGAAGAGGCAGAAGATTTATTAGGCGGTGAAAGTGGGAACGTTTGTACTTATCCGCAGGTTTTTTTTCTTGTTGAAGAGAACTGGTTTTTCATATTTGAAATATAAATTGAACAGGACTATTTGGTTTGTAGGGGTATAAACCGCGACAACCTCTCTATTCGTGCAGGGATTGTACTAAGAGTGGTTTTCAAGCAGGAATTTGTTACGGTTGCAGTATTAATTGTCACGATGGGCACGATCTTGTGGAACTGTATACTAAACGTAATTTCTGCTGTGACTGCGGTAATTCAAAATTCAAGAACCCCTGCAAGCTTTACGAGGTGTCCGCACTTTTCAGAGGGGCAACTGCCCTATCTTTGTCTTTACCTAAGTTTCTTCTTTTATTAGAAAGATTAAATAATCGGAACATTTTAAAATTTTTTGAAAGCCAAGTATTGAGGAACGTAACGTTCCTTATGTTTTGAAATTTATAAAATTTGGTTGGGAAGAGCTGGTTATGAACCGTTTGCATTGAAGTAAGTATTATGGTAGTGCAAAATCCATTTCTTATGAGGCTTCTTACTGCTGCCACAACAGTTACAAAGTTATAAATGAAGTAAAAAACAATTTTAAGATTGTTGAAACAGAACAAAAGCAGCTCAAGGACCTCCTTGACTAAAGAAGAGTTATAAACATTTAATTTTGGTTTTAGAGTGGGGATGATTGCAAGTGAAAAAGATTATATCTTTCGCCTCCTAATCAACGCTACGAGTTTACTTAAAATGACCTCTGATTTTGTCTACTAGGGGTCGCTTGCTCTTAACGCATAAGCAGTCTTACGCAACGGCTCTGATGCTATAATTCCGCAGTAACCCTTTGGATAGCAGCCATGAACCTTTCGGTCGGACAGTTTGGCATCGGCGTAGTGGCAACAAAGTGACCTAGCAAAGTAATTGAGTGTACTGAAAATTCAAAATTATGATCTTAAGCCAGTTTTACACTGTATTCGAAACAAACAACTGTTTGGTGCTTCTCTTGGAACTGCACTGTGCGAAAAAACTTATCTGTCAAAATTTAAGAAGCTTGCACACTATGAAGTCTTTGTTCTCTTATTTGTACTCCATGCTTTGAGGGAAAGTGCTTCTTAAAATTATTTGAGAAGCTTGATAGAAGCCACTTGGCTGGCTCTGCGAGTAAACTTTGACAGGAGCGAAGGGCAAGTGCGTGGTGCTAGTCGCCAGTGTCATGTAGGGCTTGTCTTCGTTTGCGGTTTGGGCCTGTTTAAGCTCAATATAATTTTTTACTCTTTTTCTTCGTAAAGCCCCATACTGGTTTGCTTCTACTTTTTGGA